GGACTCCTTAGCAGTACTTGATCTGCAAATTAATGGTGATATTTATTTTTCAGTGACCAGTCGATATGGTATTTTTCATGCTGTGGGAAGAAGCGTAGGGAGCCTGTCACAGAGGAAAATACAGCAACTGAGGACCAGAGGGTTTAATTGCTTTTGTCAATCACAGGAATTTGAATATAACTTGGACTGATAAGTATTCTACTTTTAAGAAATGGATATGTATAAGATCTTATGGAAAGTCTCTGCTTATAGAGACTATTTTTTTTTTCTAGGCATTTTCACTTTACTCTGGCTACCATCAGTCTGCATTGTTTTTAATTCCATGAATTTGACAAGAGAAGGAGTGAATAATTAGAAATGTGTCTTTTTCATAGTATTATCATATGGACCAATATTTGTAAATCCTATCTATGAACGTATTGACTTCCATATTTGGATTGTTCTGGTAATTCTAGATAATGTAATTTATCAAAGGATATTTTTCCTTGATTATAGGAAGAGAGGTGTTTTTTATCCTTATTAGGATGTTAGAAATAATTTTATGATAGACTGAAGTACTTTTTTAGTACTGGCAGGAAATGTGTAAAATAAGTTTTATATATATATTTTTTATCAATGTCACATAGGAAATTAACTTGGGAAGCCAATTGAAAGTGAGAGTATGACCAGTGTGAGTACCAGAGACTTTTAATTAATGAAGTTATATTAGGTTTGATAGATGATTATATGATTTTAATAAATGAAAAAAAAAAAACGGTAACACACAGAACTGTACAACCTGAGATTAATAGTAAGAAAGGTGTAATACTATTTTATATATCTGATTACATTTAATCAAGATATGCACAAAATTTAACAGAAGAGTAATGTAAATGGATATTGAGTTTTACTGAAATAAACTACCTCACTCAGTCTGAGAGGACTGGGATTTTTTTTTTAAAGTAAATCATCAGAAAAAACAATAACATTAGTATTTATGAATTTTATATATATCTATGGTAATAGGGGTATTCAAGGAATAGAAAACATTACAGAAAATATTCATGTATGTTGATACTGATGAACTTATATGTACATCATATGATTTTCATTGCAAATCGAGTATAATTTCATTTTCCCTTTTTAAGGAATCATTGTCAATTGTTTGGAAACTTTAAGTGTTGAAGTCAACCAATCCTGTCAGTGTCAGTGAAAGTAGGAACTAGAATCTGTCCATTTTTTCTAATATGTAAGGACAAGCTCTGTAATTTGAAATATAATGAATTGCCTTCACATTGTTAATGGTATTTTACTGAAGCTGAAGATGTTGATATTTGAAATTGATAGTCACACCCAGATGCACAAGATCTTGAAAAAAGTGGAGTAATGATAAGTTAAATTGATTTTGGTTAACTCAAAGTTTAATGTCATTTCACTTGCATTTAACATGATAACTTCCCTACAGTAGTATCCACAAACAATCCTTTCTTACTCTGTAATTCAATATGTGAGTGTTACAAATTGTTTTTTTTTTTCTTTATACTGTTACAGATACTGTCATAGCTCGAAAGTTGACATACTAATCTCTATATGATAATCTTGTAATACTCATTTGATTTTTCTTCATAGTATCTATGTATGACAATGTTGTTGTTATTGTTTTAGCTAGTAAAAATTAGATAGACATATAGACATGGTTAAACCAGGGTATATATATATACATATACATATACATATATACATATATAATACCTGGATGCTGTAAAGCCTAGAGTAGCACTCATGTAAACAATGTGACTCTGCTTATTATTTTCTTACTGTATTCTTCTTTAATCGGATTGCTCAAGTTTATTCAGCAAAGTTGATTTTTATTTCATTTTTTTCATTGATCATGATAGTGAGGCTTATAGTTACCAATATAGGACTATGTAGTAGACTGTTACTTCACTTTAAGATAATCAAAAACAATTTGTACTATAGGATACTATTATATTGCATGGTAGTTGTCTTGCCACTGCATCATCTGTAATTTTGGGTATGATATAATAATTTTGTAATTGTTATAGGGACAACAATATATGAGATCATGTGATGAGAAGTCAGATATTCTTTGACTTTACAGCTTAAAAGACAATATTCTTTAGGTAGCATTTACATAATCGGAATTGGAAAGAATTCCAGTGATTCTGTGCTGACAATTCAGTATCTTAGTGTGATATTTACATTTTATGAAATAATGTTAATACTTTGTTGGCCAAGGTTTTGGGCACCTGTTGTATATTCTGGTGTATGTTAGCAGCATTTTATATTTCGTGAAATTATTAAGTGGAACTTCAGCTTCTTTAATTTCTTTACAATCAATCATGTATGTACACATTCTTGTGCTTAGTACATTTGACCAATAATGCTTGTAGTTTTCCATGGTCTTTAGGAACAGTAGAACAATCTTCTATTGAATTAATATACAGGCACAGTACAGTACAGTTTGTGTGCAGATACAATATGTACCATGTTTTAAAGTAATGTTATTTGATGACCCACTGTGATAGCACTAGAGGGTGGAACTGCCAAGTAATTTTCATACTGATTCATACCATAATGTATTCAAGAAAATTGGTGATAAATAACATGCTAAATTACCTTTTTACTAGTTGTTTGTAATGCTAATATGATATTTTGAAGATAAAGCAAGAAATGCAAGTGCGATCAGTGAGAATTATTTAAGAAAATAGTTTCAACTCCAGTTTAACTTGTAGGCTATTTTTAGATAGTGTATATGAGACAGATCCTGCTTTTACTAGTTAGCCTCTAATGCAGTGATGCTGTTTGTAAAATTATCAGATGATATCACTTTACCCAATAGTTAGTTTTAAATTAGATTATGTCAATGAAACTGGGAAAATATTACATTCAAAACTTCAGAAGAAAGTGATTAATCATCAGATGTTTTTAATCTGCTTTAATAGTGTTTAAAATCACATTTAGTGGTTTTAAGATTATAATATTTTCAGCTTTGATTTGGACACAAAGAATCATGAAAAGTGAATACGGTATCTGCTACTTTTCGCAATTTTCATTTGCAATTGTTATCACTCAAAATGTCAGGTTGTCATGTATGTTTTATGGTTACATACTGATAGGTCATTATTTGATCAAATTGAAAGTACTTCTCTTTTTGTATGAGTTAAAAGCTAGTGATATCTATATGTACCTTCAGTAGTCTGACTTTGTGAAGTTACAGTGATGTTACTATTGTTACACTATACTAGTTAAGAATTCTTTGAGAAGGGAACAAGGGATTGTACCTGAGATGGTTTTAGTGGACATTTTGTCAAATATTACAATTTTGGTACTATACCACTGGAGTGAAATAGTCATTTCAATATTTTTGTTATTTTTAGAAGTCAATAAATTATTATTGTAAAATAGTTTTAAAGTGGATGTGATAAATATGTGTTTTAACACATTCAATTTAACTTTCATAAAGTAAAACACAATATAGTACAGTATTACAATAATGATGTATGTTAAGAAATTCTTTTATAGAGAATCCAAATGTATAGGATGCAGTAACATGTTACTAAAATGATGTACAGAGAATTCTAAGGAAATTTAGAAAATTCATTCCAACCTATTTGCCAGGTGTAATACAATCTAGAAAAAAAATTCTCTCTTGATAGAATTTTACAGCCTCTTTTAAATATTTTCTACTTGTTTTTTTTACATTCTGTCATCTGTCTTTGTTTTAGAAAGTAATTAAACTGATTATTTTCTAAAATAAACTTTATTTAGATACAATAGACTGACATGTTATTTTTAGAATTAATGCTTGCAACTATTACCTGCAATATTATATTAAACATATAACTGAGATGTTATGCTTTTTATTCAATTCCAAGACATACTTGATACTGCCTTTTTTTTTTTTTTTACTACAGTATATTACAAACATCGGTTGTCTTAAGAAAAATAAAAATATTGATAAATGAGAATTGTTTGACCAGGTGTTCTCTTTTTCTTCATGAAATAAGTCCTTGTATTTGAATTATACCATTACCTGTGTGCAGATGAATTCGCAACAGATATAGAGAATGCAATGTGTTAACACTATTTCATACATACTGGTAACATACAGTACATCAGCAGATAATTGATTTTTTTATACACCGTAAATATAATCCTCTTTGCATAATACAAGAACCTTGAGTTCTGCTGTTACTGAACAGAACATTTCCAGAGAAGTCATAACCTCTAAGATATGCATCATCAATTTTTTTCTCTCATTTATAAAGTGACCGTTTTTGTTAATGGTTAAAGGCCTAAGTCTGAGGAAAGTATTTTGCAAAGAATTAGGAAGAAATGGAAATAACATGCATCACCCAGCATTGCTGATGACTGGGCCTAATGGGTAAACACATCCCAAAACAGAGGTCAGAGCTGGGGAAATTACTGGATAACTAACAGATTCTACATACAAATTCATAGTTTGTCCAACGCCTGTTACTTTCAGGCATGCCCACTGATTTTTTTTCCACAGTGCCACAAACAGCCATTTATGTCGTAGTTAAATATTTTGAAAATTAGTCAAGGAAAGTTTCATACAGGCCTGAAAAAACAACCTTGTGAATTTCATGGTCCAAACTCAATTCCTTCTTAATATCAGAAGAGCATAACGCTATGTATAATATTGTTTTTTTTATTTTTACCTCTAACTGATTTGGTACTCCTTTGCAAATTAATCATTTATGATAAATCATAAAAGAAATTTGGATATGAAATGAACAAAAGATCAAAGCAGAGTATTTAATTAATGTGGTGGGGGTGGGGGGCTAAGGAGACGGGGACTGAGGCCCAATGTAAGGGATCAGCTCCACTAATTTTGCATGGTCTTTCTTCTCCCTACTTCCTTTTCCTTCTTTTCTTCATCCCTTTCCTCTGCATACTTATCCTTATCTAATTTTCCCCCTTCTCACCAAAATACTTTTATCATTATATGAACTTTGACGTCTGGCACATTTATTTGCTTTGACCATTAACCATTCTGGAAATCCACCCTGTCGCTACATTTTAATTAAGCCGCTAATGACCTTAGATGTTGATGCGACAGAAAATTTTCATGGAGTTAAATAAATATGTGCAGGACTATATGGTGTTGGTGAAGGTATCAGACTTGTACAGTGCAGGCAAAACGAAACTACCTTGCGGTTTTATAACGCAGCTCAAATTCCTTCATGGTATAATAAAGGCTTAATTGTATCACTGTGTAACGGGTAACAGATATACTTAAGGATAGTAGTTAGAATTCACCTTAAATGCATTTATACCGATTCGATTGCAAATGAACCATTCGCGAGAATTAACAAAGGAAATTTTACGAAAAGGCAAAAACAAAAAGATAATGCAAATCACTGTATTGACGGCACAAAGGATTAATCTTGAATGCTTTTCAAAGGAAACCTGAAAAAACGAATAATTGCAGTGGAACTCGGAATATTTAACAGAATGGATAGAAAAAAAATATATATTTTGTGGTATATTTAATATAGTTAGCCCTCGAAAATATTTTTTGCTATAAAAGAAAATGTAAAACTTGCGAGGGATAACTATGACTTTTATCATAAATTCCATTACAAAATTGAATTTTACAATCTCACCCCATTTTTACGGTATATAATGGCAACGAAACCTCTAATACTACTGAAATCTTTATTAATTAGTCTTTTTTTCAATCTCGAGGTAGCTATCTACCCTCAGCTTCCCATCCCATCCTTATACCAAGGAATCCTCCTCCCTCCACTGTAGTTCTTCAAACGTGGCCCTGCTCGCTGCGCAACGCCTCGCGAGACGTTTTGTCAAGTCGACTGTTCACTTGATTTTGTTACGCAACGCACGGTGCGCTTTTGCCCAAGTGAACGCAGTCAGTCTGTTACCGCTCTATCAAGTTGTTCAAAGGGGCGGGGGGCACAGCTTTGAAAGAGATGAGGGCACTCTGCTTTTCTATTTTTTGGTGCCCTCCCTCTACTTAGTAAATTCCCTTCAAATTTATAATAAAATAATGGTAACATCAACAACAATTATCATTATAAAAACGTCAATAATGATAATAATGATAATAATGATAAAAATAATATTGATAAAAATAATAATAATAATAGAATAATGATGATAATAATGATGAAAATAATAATTATAATAGAATACTGATGATAATAATGATGATAATAATAGTAATGGTAATGATATTTTATTATTCTTATAATTTTGTATTATACTTTACTTTTTATTCATCGTTCTTGCATTTTTTTAAGAGCAAGTAAATTGTTTGGCAAACCAGCGGCCAATTTTTAGATACAGAAAAAAATAAAAGTAGTGCCATTTCTTCCATCTATTTTAATGTTAAGATATTAAGAAAGTGGATGACCAGCAATGTGATTTTGAGAAGATTTATTCAGATTCCAAAATCCGAAGTTATAACCATTGGTCGTTTCCCTATCAGAAATTTTACACCATTTTTCGAAGTTTAGGGGCGAGTACTCTTGGAGGATAACCATGTAAAGTACACACACACACACACACACACACACACACACACACACACACACACACACACACACACTTACGTATGTACGTACACACATACACGTGAGTGTGTTGCTTATCGACATTAGACTAACATTAGGTCAGAGAATCGTCAGTATGTCAAAATCCTCTGCACCGTGTCGAGCAGTTCCGTTCTTACAAACACGCGGTCGACCCAGCACCGCCCGAGGTAAGTGTAGCCGACCTTTGCCATGAGCTCCTCGACGGCCTCCTCGCCCTCCGGGATGTCGTCGACCTGCACCTCCAGAAGGCGGATCTGCATTTTGTCCCACGGGATTGTTCGCAGAACCTAGAAGCCCAGAAAAAAACAGTGACGATCTTCTTCTGGCTACGTAAAATCGAACAGAAACTGAAACGAAAATGACAGAAACATGGATAAATGTACGTAGTGTTAATACCTCATGCCACATTGGTAGAACATTTACCTTCAGCTCATCCCCTCCTACTGAGAGTGAAAGCAGGTCGATCGTGGTTCTGTTGAGAGCAAGCAGGAGCGAGTAAAGGGGAAAACACTGGGTCCTCATGAATTTTCTGGCGCTTCTGTGATGGGTTTTGTTTTGGATCCTGCAAATAAACGTGGACGCCGTTGTGTTACTCTCGTGAAGACATGCGGATAAGCCAGTTCACAAAAAGAAACAGACTTAGAACACAATCAAAGAATTTCTTGAATGATTTTTAAAGAATAGGATTTTAAAAATCACAATATAGTCGAGTATAAGTGGAAAATAATATCAAAGCAGCGTCAGGTAGAACGTTCTAGCAAATACTCGATTTGTGTTCTAATGTCTTAGTGCATGTTATTAAAGCACAGCGTTACTGTATATAGAGTGTGTGAATAGTAATATACTCACGCAAAATTCTTATTCGTGCATTTGGGCGAGAGCGAGACACAGGCATTGATCGTGAAGGCCCTCCTGTTCTTGGTCTTCATTTCGGCAAAGTGCGGCCCATCTGGCTCAACCAGCAGGCCGGTCCAGTTGCGCTGCAGCTCGAAGAACAAGCTCTGGCTCTTGTATTCGCCGTCGCCGGCGTTGACCTCAACGAAGAACCCACTTGTCTGTCACGAGGAATATTGCATGACATCGTAATATCCTTCAGATCAAGGGCTCCCAACCTAATGCTCGAGAGCACCGCTGTGCTCTCTGATGGCCTTTTCACTTCTGATTGATATGTAGGCTCTACAAATCAATCTGTAAATCTTCAGTACAAGAATATAGAATTTTTATTTCCTAATTAAATCTTACACTTACTAATTGGATTTTTAAAAATTTCACAAACTAGGAAATTATATTACTGAACTCATTACTACCCAGGTGGGTGCTCATTGGATTAAAAAGTTGGGAACCCCTTCCATTTTCCATCATACTTTACAACAAAAATATTCAAATTAGGCAGAAGTATTTTAACAATAATTAATGACCGGCTAAATTATGATATAGCTCACCATATTCTTGAGGATCTTATCAATCTTCGCCGACTGCATGTATCGCGAATAATCAATCTTTTGGGGATCTTGAAGATGGTATTTTTCATGAGTGGACGGAGGATGCAGCTTGAGTTGCCGGATGTACGATATGAGTTCCGGGTCGTCATCCACGACTCCCTCGAAGTCCCGGTCGTTCGGATTTTCTATGATGACCGGGGCGACGTTGGTGGTCTGTGGGGACTCCGGTGCTTCTCGAATCTCGCGGCCGGAGTCTGGAGCGGGAGGGAGGGTTAACTGGCTCGCAGATGGAGTCGTTGACTGACAGAATTATGCTGTAACCTCTGCTTTGACCGGTGCGGTGTGTCTATGGCTTTATGCTTGTTAGACTCGCGTACTGTCTCCTTGTATCTCTCCTCACTATCATTTTTCTGTCCTCTTATAGCAGCCTGGGGTCGGCAACCTGCGGCCCCCCCGGGCTAGATCGGAACTCATGGCCCACATAACAATCCTGCCCGCAGAGTCGGAACTCATGGCCTATCACCCTGCTTGATATTCATATAGCAACCCGGCAGCAAGACCCAACTAAATGAGAACGTCGGCGCCTTTCAACATGATAGCTGCGCATAGGACGGAGCAAATTTGCATAGCCGAGAACTTCACGGTCAATGATTTGAGGCTGAGGAACTAACTCGGTCTGTGGGCGGCCTCACACGACGTGGGTCGTGGCTGAAGGAGGGGCGCATTCGGAAGGCGAAGGTTAGACTTCTGGACCTCTATTTCAGGAAAGAATAAACTGACAACTATCCCAGACTCGAGTAGGCCTTCTCCAGAAAAGTGGAAGGCAGCACAGAAAATATTGTATCAAGTTTTAAAAATACAAAACATGCAAATACGAGTACTGTGTCAGTTTGGCGAATCGGAGTCCTCCAGTGAACGGAATGAATTACCAGTTTTTCCTTACCTGATTTTCAATACATTAGAGTGACTCCACATATTTTCCATGCCTACCCTTCATCTAAATGCAAAATTAGCTTGAATTGTGCTGCATAATAGCTACACCTTATCAAACAATGCATAGTTACTATAATCTCTATGAATTGAAACTGGCCACGAGGCCAAGCCATGCACATTTGCGAAATGCTGCTGCTACCGAACATCCAGAAGTGTTCACTAGCATGGTTGTCTGTTGCAGTGGGAATCTTACTTTAGTCTTTGGGCTCCTTTGTTCTAAATTTTGACTGGGAACCTTAATAAAGAAAAATAAATACTACTCACAAGCAATTATTTGACAGGTGAGTAGGACAAGCTGACATATAGGCATCGGCTGTAGCCGCACAGATAACCAATATGAAATCCAGTGGAGATGAATGAAATAATAAAACAGTCCAATCGGAAATCTGAGACAAAGATATTCAATTGAGGGATCGGAGATGAAATGTTGCAAAACAACTATGTCCGTCAGGGAATACGGTCATAAGTTCCAGTACTCTCACTGAGGAGGCATTTAAACAAAGAAGAAATATGAGTGAATGGATGAAGAGGGCTTTCGAAATAAGTGATCCAGTCCACCCCTCTCGCTATGGAACCAACTATATCAGTTGGTGGCTTAGCCAGGTGGTGGGGCTGCAATCTACTGTCTCCACTGCGCTTCACGTTGCATAAAGGTCTGATTCCAGACACTTGTGATGAAAGCGTCAGGATAAGCACAGGTGATCACTGTGAACAAAAAAGACCTGTCAAGGCTGTCAAGGTGCAGTCAGCAAAGTAACAGTATCACTGTTCTGAATAACCTTTTATACAAGGTAAATCGATTTGCAAGCTCATTGTGCTTCACCATTTTTCATTTATTGTAGAGTCAAGTTCAAGCCACAAAATATATATTGAAAAGTGAACATGGAACAATTTGGAATTACGAGAGCTCTGTTGGGACGCCTTATCCGACAATGGTTTAGCAGAGGTTCTTCCAAAGCATATACTTGCCGGAAGGTATACCAG